TGTATATTTAACTGATATTTAATATTGAAATAATTTATTTAATCATTATTTTAAATTCTATCCCTGTTATAAACATTCTTGTTTCTTGGGATTAATAAAGATTATTATTATTATGTTATTTACTATTAAGAAGCTACTGTGATTGGTAAACATATCAAATCGTTAGGTGTATGGCAATGGCAGTGCAGTAATTCTAACATGTCAAAATGTAATTTTATTTTCCAGTTTCTATAAATTAAGCGATGCTTCAAAATTCGTATGTTTTGAATGAGTATGGGCAATTATTTTGAGATTATCTTTATATGTCTAATATGCAAAACTTCCAAGTGATTTAACGTGTTTGGTGGGTAATGACCTTTAGTATATAGAACAGTGGTGACAAAAGTGGCTATCTGAAAGAGCAAAAGTGATGTGTTGTTACTATGTTGGTTCTATTGATTCCGAAGAGCAGTAATGTATTGAAAGTATATTACTGAAACCCGTGAAACACCATAAAAATCTTGGCATTATGAACAGTCGAGAAAAACTATAAAGTCAATTTTATATGAAAAATGGGAAGTGACACTTTCTATGTTATTTTACCATTTGTATTTGTTAACTAACGGTACTGCAGTTTCGTTCTATAAGAACATTTTCAAACGAATACAATAAAATGTTTTATTTCTAATTTTTCATGATGATCTCCTACCACGTAGTAACGGATACCTCCATCAATTGTATATTTTACATGTTAACTATTTCTTTTTAAAATACGCCACCGGAACTGCTAACCAAAATATGTAAAAGACCCATCCTCGAGTATGATGTGCCAGTTTAAAATCCATATTTTGCCAAAAACATCTGTGCATTTGAGCAAATTCAACAGAGTAAACGAGGTGATTTTATTGAAACGTTCGAAATTCTTCGTGGAATACTCAGCGAATTCTTGGAATTGTAAAAACTGATTTTTTATTTCAATTTGCTGGAAATTTTTTATTTCAACTCTTAAAAGAGATTGTAATTTTTACGTTCTCTCAAAACTTTTAATAATTTATAGGGCACAAATTATCTTCATCTCGCCATTAAACATGTTTGATTTTTTTTGTGCCTGCAATGTTTGTATAAAATAAATGATTTTTTTTTCGATCATCATTTTATTCAAATAACTCCAGAGGTATATCTTCGCCTTTTGCAGCCCTGAGGTACAAAGCTGTATCTGAGATTGGTCTAGTGATAATTTTCCAAAAGTTCTCTGCAGTTTCCATTTTGTGTGAATCTCTGTAAGTGTGGCAGCTAACCATGCATTCAGGTCCGTAGAAAGATGGTATCCAGTGGGATGGTTCCACNTACGATTGGAATTTTATCATGTTAACTTGTATTTTTTTGTAACTCTAATTTATCTACAAGCATTTTTTAGAAACTATATGGACGAATCTTATCCTCTCAAACCTATTTTAGAAATTGTATTGACGTGTCTAAAAACTGTGTTTCTTGAGATTAATAAAATTATTATTATTATTATCAGGAGAAAATTGAAAATGAATAATTGATAGATCATGAATTAAGAGTTTCCACAGGCGTTTAGTCGAAAAACAAAACATGAATGTGAGCTGCAACCAAGAGGAGAATTTGGGTCAGACCGTGGAATTCTTTTTCAAAATGTGAACCATGGAAAGCATTAAAAATTATTCTAACAGAAACTCATACTAATTTCCTGAATTCAACCTCGCCTTTTTATATATACCTATCTGGAAAGTCTAAACAACTTATTGGTTACTATTTTATGGACCTCTCACTTAAAATTAGCGAGAACTTTTCTACTAATTTCTACTTACAAAACCATTGATATGTAAGTGAAAGTGAGGATTCACCCTTCAAGATCTGTTATAGTTATATGAATATTTGAGAAATTAAAAGGGTAGAGCGTGGCAAGTGCAGAAATGGGGCAAGTGTATGAAATGGTGATAAATTTTGCTGTATTTGAGTATTATAATTATTTTGTGACTATAGACGTTTTTTATTTGTGAGTTATGGATACCACACACTTACCCAGCTAAAGGGACTGATGCATGAGAAAATGCATGATTTCATGCACTTCTTCCGATATTGTCTGACGGTACCTGTTAACCCAATTTATATTTATTTATCAATATACAGGGTGTCCCTGGACTTCCTCTTTTCCTCTCGGGAATGTATAGATGGGGTCAAAATATCACCAGTACTTCATATAACTTTTTTTCCTAAAATCCTTCGTTACCAAGTAACGGGCCCTCGAAGTTACAAAATGAAAAATGTTTTTCTTTGATAACTTTTCAAGTGAATATTCAAAATCATCCAAATTTTGG